ATGATGGCTGAGACAATGAAGGGGCCTTCAAACTTAGGCGCCATCTTACCGCCTTCGGTGGGTAAGCTGGCCTCCCTCCGTTGGAGGACGTAGTCCCCCACCTGAAATTCCCGGGAGCGGACCTTGGCGTCGATGTAGCCTTTGACTTGTCTTCTATAGTTTTCAGCCCTAAGAAAGGCTTTCTCTCGGCGTTCTGAGATAAGGTGGAGATCGAGGGCCATGTTGGCTTCGTTGACCTGGGGTTCATACTGTTCCACCCTTCGGGTGGGAAGGGTCACTTCTGTTGGAGCCTTAGCCTCAAAGCCATAGCATAGAGAGAAGGGTGTTTCACCTGTTGCACGCCGAGGGGTGGTACGGTAGGCCCATAAGATGTTGTGTAGCTCTTCTACCCAGCCTCCCCCTTCGGCTTCCAGTTTCTTCTTCAACCCTTCGAGGAGAGTGCGGTTGGCATTTTCTACTTGTCCGTTGCCCTGAGGGTAGGCGACGGATGAAAAGGTGTGTTTGATGCCCCACGCCTCGAGGAGAGCGCAGAAGGGGGCTGCCTCAAATTGAGTGCCATTGTCGGAGATGATTTGTTGGGGGACGCCAAATCTTGTCAGAATGTTCTTGAGGACGAAGTGGCGGCACCGGGCCTCAGTGATGCTGGCAAGGGGCTCCGCCTCCACCCATTTGGTGAAATAGTCAATGGCCACAATGATGTACCTGTTGTTGGAGGTACCCCTCGGCAGAGGGCCTACTAAGTCAATACCCCACCTGGAGAAGGGTATGGCGGTGCTGATGGGGGCATAGTTGACCGCTAGTCTGCCGGGGGCCTTCTGAAAGTGTTGGCAAGCGGTGCACCTTCGGGCTAGATCAGCACAATCTCTAGCCATCGTGGGCCAGAAGTAGCCTTGAACTATGAGCCTTCGGGACATGGAGAAGGGTCCCTGGTGAGCTGAGCAAGTGCCACTGTGCACTTCCTCCATAGCGACTTCGGCTTCATCTTGATGAAGGCACCGGAGAAGGGTGCCGTTGTAAGATCTTTTGTAAAGCCTCCCATTCTCGAGGGTGTAGCTGGGAGCCCTCAGCTTTGCTAACTTCGCGCGGGCTTCGTCTTGGGGCAGTTGACCCGTGTTGATGAAGGTGATGATGTCGGAGATCCAATCCTCCGGCCTTAGGTTAATGCTCATGACGGGGCTCGCGTGGATGCTTGAGAGGCTAAGTTCCTCAATTCTCGCAATTTTTGAGAGGTGCTCGGGGATTCATCCGAGAGCTTGGATAGAATGTCGGCCTCGGAGTTTTGAGCCCTCGGTATTTGGGTAAGAGAATGTGCCTCAAATACCCTAAGTAACTCCTTGGCAGCCTCCTTGTACTGCTTCATCCTTCCTTCCTTGGCTTCGTACTCCCCGGAAATTTGACCCACGACCAGTTTGGAGTCACACTTGACGTGGATCATCTTTGCCTTCAGATTTGCTGCCAGCCGAAGGCCACAGAGGAGGGCTTCGTACTCGGCCTCGTTGTTGGAGATTTTGAAGGAGAAGCGGATGGCATAATAGGCGCGGAAGCCCTCGGGTGTAATGAGAACTACTCCCCCTCCGCATGCTTTGGTGGCCGAGGAGCCATCGGTATAGAGTGTCCACCACTCATCAAGAGGCGCCGAAGGCTCTTCATCCACCGCTGACCTCGCGGTGCATTCTGTTACGAAGTCTGCCAGGGCTTGGCCCTTGATGGCAGGCCTCGGACGGATGTCTATGTTGTATTGGCTGAGGAAGATGGCCCATTTCACCATCCGAGAGGAGCTAGTGGGACTCCTCATGAGGGCGCCGAGGGGTTGATGAGTGAGCACTTGGACCGGATGAGCCTGAAAGTAGTGGCCAAGTTTCTTGACGGTCCAAACGATGGCTAGCACCGTCTTCTCGACGGGAGAATACCTAAGTTCGGCCTCCCGGAGGGTCTTGCTGACGTAGAAGATGGCATGCTGGATGCCGTCTTCCTCCCGGATTAGTACTGAGCTGATGGCCGCAGGGCTAACGCCGAGGTATAAGTATAAAGTCTCCCCCACCTTCGGTTTTGAGAGCACTGGGGGAGAAGAGAGGTACTTTTTAAGTTCGTCGAAGGCCTCTTGATAACCGCTTTCGCGGCGTTGTAGTAAAACGGAGTCTAACCTTTCGGTTTTTCCCCGAGTGTCGTGTCTCTTGAGGAATGGCGGAGAAGTTTCTTAATTTAATTTTAGTCACGGGCTATCGCTAATCGTTGGAAGCCTTTTCAATATAGGAAAGTGTTTTTGTTCTTTATTATGCTAAATTATAACTAGGAGCAAGGTGCAATTTAAAGATTAATGTATAAAGACTGATTATTCAAGGATGCAAATAAGGGCAATGAATTGAGTAATTAGAAATGGATATGTTCTTGGACCTCTTAATTAGGGAAATTAAGACTAAAGTTGGACTAATAATTTCTTTCCTCATAGACAAGAATAGAAACTATCTTCATTAATTTATCCTATTTCTAGGTATCATTAATGTGTTTAAAATGGTTGGCTTAAATTATATTCTAAACCCATAGACAAGGTAGAAATAATTTTCCAATATTTTAATTAATAAAAATAGCCAAATTCATTAACTAGTTAAACTCTTTATTTTAGCAATTGAATTTATTTCTCATAGACAAGATGTAAATCCTTTTCATTAAATTATCCTATTTCTAGGCCTTATTAATGTGCTCAAATATGGTTGGCTTAAATTAATTTCTAATCTCATAGACAAGTTAGAATTAATTTTCCAAGAATTTAATTAATGAAAATGGCTAACTATTATTAATTACTATTTCATCATTTTAAACAACTAGTCCAATTTATTAATTTTACCCCCTAATTTTAGGTCAACAAGTCAATCCATATTCCTTTACTCAATTCATGCCCTAACAAATTTAGCTACTCATTATCATTTTTACAATTAACGATATAATAATTAAATTCAACATTAACAAGGAATTAAACATGTATGATAGCAAAAATTAAACAAAAATTATATTCTGGAACAATAAACTTGTAGGAACTAAAATACAACTTTCTGGAATTTTTTTACGAATTTTTGAAACTAAAATCCAATTTTAACAACTAATTGATAACTTTCCCAATTTTAACTAGAAAATACAAAAAGCAACTAAAAATATGCTAACTTCGTTATAAATTTTATTTTTAGCTACTGGGAGGTATATAACTGTGAATAAACTGTAATCAGGTCCGAACTATTTTTTTTTTCTTTTTTAGTATTTATTTTGATTTAAGCAATAATATAAGGTAATTACCGAAAATTAATAAAAAATACTCTAAATTCGTACCAAATTTTATATTAACTACTAGTAATGATATTTAAGTTAACTAAACTGTAAATAGGGCCGAACTCATTTTTTTCTTTTTTTTTTTCTAGTATTTATTCTAAATTATGAACTAATATCAAATAATTACCAAAATTAATTAAAAATTACTTCTGGTTCGTGAAAAATTAATTTCTTCAGATAAATAACTACCTTGAGGCTAGTGAACAACTATATAATTAATTGGAATGATTTCAACAACAATAACTATTTTATTTAATTTTTGGAAGGAAATGCGAAATACTTGAAAAATAATCTGGAAATTTTCGAAGAACAGATCGAAGAAACAAAGCACAGATTCAGATTCTACACATTGAGAAGATGAAAATACATATAAAGAACTTACAATTTGGAGCTAAAATGAAGAAGATATGAAGATTTGAAGTTTCTCTCTCTCTAAGACCTTTGGAGCACGAAAATGGAGGAAGAAAGAAGGTGTTTTGAACTGATTTAGGGTTGGAGGAGGTGTGTTTGAGTTGAGGAAAAATCGGGCTATTTATAGGAGAAATTTCCCCGAAGGCGGCCAACCAGGCGGCCGCCTTCCGCCTCTCTCCGGCCGCCTGCCGTCTTCGTCGCCGACAGCGGTCGGTGGCCGGTCCCCGTCAGCCGTAGGCGGCCACAGAGGGCGGCCGCCTTCCGTCACACATCGGCCGCCTGCCGTCTTTTCATTGTCAAATCGGATCGCGGCGGATCCCGGCGGATCCCGGCCGCCGCAGGCGGTCCAGCAGGCGGCCGCCGGCCGTCTGGTCTGGCCGCCTGCCGTCCTGTCTGGCCGACCGGTGGTTGGTTTCGTCCCCTTGTGCCGCAGGCGGCCACCGTAGGCGGCCGCCTTCTGTCCAGTGTCGGTAGCCTTCGGTCTTTTCCTGGTCCCGAGTCAAAGCGAGGTTGACTTCTGATTTTTCCCGTAGGCGGCCGCGAAGGCCCCCATTTTGGGCGCCTATTTGGGCGCCTTCTGCCATTTTTGTCTGGCAGATGCGGCTTTTCCTGCTCTTCATTTTTGTCTTCTGAATCACCTTGATAAAATGCTTGCTTCTTCCAGTATACATGCATTTGTCACTCAAATTGATTCATTTTGTGCTCAATTGACCCGAAATCCCGCTAAACATATTATGGATGTGATTTTTACCTGATTTCATGAAACTTGAACCGAAATATATAAAATGTGTCTTTTCTTTCTATTTTCATTCAAAAATCGCTTAAATTTGATAAGAAAAATAAGTTCAAAAATGGACTTATCAATCTCCTCACACTTAAGCGTTGCTTGTCCTCAAGCGACGAATTAGTTGTAAACACACTCAAAAGGTAAAGCCTAACTGTATTACAATCTAATTGCTATTTTAAAGAAGTAGAAACAAAAACCTCTTCTTTTTATTCTTAATCTTTAAACATTTTAGAAAAATCACCCAAAATACAAGAATTTAAAATTAGTATTACTTAAGAAAAACTATTTATTATGTTAAACCACCAATCAATTCCTTATCCCAAGATTTTCATTATTCTAATTTGGACATTCATCTTGTTCACCAATTTTTTTTTTTTTTTTGCTCTTTTTCACTCTTGTTGGCGGTGTTATCCCATGGTAAATGCATATTTCATTCTCACAGACTGTGATTAACGAATGAAACAGAGCCCCTTTTCGGAGATGGAATTGTCTTATAACAATGAGTTTTGAAGAGGTTTATTAATAGTAACATTTTTTTAATGAATAAAATGAATGTCCAATTAAAACAAATTCAGACCTTTACATTCGCAACCAAAAACCCATAACAATTTTAAGTTTTCAAAAATAATAATAATAGTAAATTCTGATAATAAGGGTGATTTTCTAAACTATTTTGTGAATTGATAACAAATTGAGAAATTAATGTTTCATATCAAAAATAGTAAAAAGATTGTTCTAAAACAAGGTTTTGACTTTTGAGTGTAAAACGCAACCTCCTCACACTTGAGCTGGACCTCGCCCTCGAGGTCTTCTTTTGAGGCACAAAATTGGGAAATAAAGGCACATTTTTTTTTTGGTTCTTTCCTCACACTTGAGTTTTGAAAAGATTTTGTGAAGAGGAATAATGAAACAGGAGTAAAATGGTTTTTTAAAATCCTTACATCATCCATAGTCAGTTTGTAAGAGCATTCAAGTCAAAAGAGCAGCGCAATGTCCAACCTGAAGAACAAACAAACATGATAAAAATGTTAAGGAAGAAGCAAATCTAAACATCGCCTGCGCCATCCTGGGGGCCATAGTGTGGCCTAAGCCAATCTCTCATCTCATCAATATCTAGCCTCTGGGTCTCTAGCTCCGCCTGCATATCCCGGGTGGCTCTCTCCTAAGCTAATCGAAAGTCTCTGAACTCTCCCAGGGCCGTCTCATGCGCATCTCGCATCTCCTGGAATCCTCTGTCCTGTGCAACCCGCATCTCTGAGACTGAGGTCTGTAGACTCCTCATCCCATCCATCATCGCTCTCCAATCTGCGGCGCTAGGCATGTATGAAAAGGGCTCGCTAGATCCCTCATGTCCTGAGGGTCGAGAAGAACTACTCTGCTGGGTTGGCTGCTCAATACCTGGGAGCTCCTGAGTGTTCCGCTTCTTCTTGATCCTCATGTTGGTAAAGGATGAGGATCGAAGAACGCGGATGCTATCCTGTAAGTGCACTAGTCCTGGAATGTCTAGATCTGGGTAGAATGATCTAACGAGAGTAGTGATGAAAGGCCCTGCCTGGATAGTGCGCCGCACAGTCTTCCCCTGGCTCCGGAAGAAACGAGCCATAAGGACAGCCATATTCACCGGGATGCGGTGAATCAAACTCCAAAAGAATAGTATGTCCTTTTTGGACAACCTGTTTGTGTTGATAGGTCGTCCAAAAAAACCACAAGAAAGTACGAACGAGAGTATGTACCAGTGACTCTCCCTCCATTTGTTCGAATGGGGGTGCATCCGGAGAAATGATCTGGTGTCTGTGGAGTGTCTGTGCCAGAACTCATCAATGTCAAATGCCTCGGGTAAGCGGGTCGGAAGAGCACGGAACTCCTCAGTCTGTGTGTATGCTGGGGTATAGAGCCCCATCCTCCATCCGAGCTCAGCCACAGTGATGGAGTGCTCCATGCCTAGAATAGTAAACCTCATCCGAGACTCTGACCCAATAACAGCACCCTCCTGCACAGCCTGTCCGTAATGAGTGAACTGAACGGAGCACAGAAACTCCATCGTCAATGGAAGGCTGGCCCTCTCCTGAACGAATAGAATCCTCCGCCATAAAGAGTCTCCTAGCAGGGCATCAATGTCATCCCAGTACCCCCATTCCTCTAGCATCGTCGGGTCCAGGATCATGGGAGGAAGGAGTGTGCGGTATTGCCCCCATGCCTGGAAGCGTCTGCGATCAGCAATAGTAGCAAAGGGGATATCAGGCTGTGGCGGCGGGTCTTCCCGTCCTAGTGGTGGCTCCTCGAAAATGGGGTCGTCACGTCTTCCTCCAGACATCTGCAAGAAATAAACAAAGTAAAATATTTTTGGGTTAGTTTTTTTTTTTTTTTTTTTTTTTTTTGGTTGGGTTGCCTCCCAATGAGCGCTTCTTTAACGTCACTAGCTTGACGAATGTCCTCCTTTGGTTCAAAATTTTTGGAGATAGAGAATCTCCTTGCTTTTTTCAATCGGGCCGCCATGGTAGAGTTTAAGTTGGTGGCCGTTGACTTTAAAGGGACCCCCATTAGCATCTTCAATCTCAACGGTTCCGTAGGGGTAAGCTTTTATGACCTTGAACGGTCCGGACCATCTTGACTTAAGCTTTCCTGGAAAGAGCTTCAACCGGGAGTTGAATAACAGCACTTTATCTCCAGCATTGAAATCACGAGCCTTGATGTGTTGATCATGGTAGAGTTTGGCCCGTTCTTTGTAAAGTTTAGAATTATGAAAAGCTTGCGCTCTCCACTCTTCCAGTTCATTCAGCTGGTAAAATCGTTCCTTCCCTGCAGCATCCAGTTTAAAACAGACATTTTTCATCGCCCAAAGTGCTTTATGCTCGAGTTCGATGGGTAAGTGGCAAGACTTCCCGTATACAAGGCGAAAAGGTGTGGTTCCGATCGGGGTTTTGTAAGCAGTCCGAAATGCCCAAAGAGCGTCGTCAAGTTTAGTTGACCAGTCTTTCCTGGTCTGGGCAACAGTTTTCTCCAGAATGGACTTCAAATCCCTGTTAGCGTTCTCCACTTGTCCCTAAGTCTGGGGGTGGTACGCTACTCCGCTTCGATGTTGGACTCCATATTTGGCCAAAATTCTAGCCATTGGATCATTGTGGAAATGAGTCCCTCTATCGCTGATCAAAACCCTAGGCACACCAAATCTGGTAAAGAGCTTTTTCAGAAAATTCACGACTACTCGAGAGTCGTTGGTGACACAGGCCTGGGCTTCAACCCATTTAGAAACATAATCAATGGCCACAAGAATGTATTTGTTTCCTCTTGAGCTTGGGAAAGGTCCAACAAAGTCGATGCCCCAAACATCAAATACCTCACAAGGTAAGATAAAGTGTTGGGGCATCTCATTGCGCCCAGAAATGTTCCCGATTCGTTGACAGTTATCACAAGAGGAAACAAATTCAATAGCATCTTTAAAAATCGTGGGCCAGAAGTACCCACAGTCCAAAACCCGCCTTGCGGTTCTATTCCCTGAAAAGTGGCCCCCAGTAGGACCGCTGTGACAATGCTCTAGAATGTCCCTTGCCTCAGCTTCAGTAACACATCTTCTCACCACCTGGTCAGCACAAATTCGGAATAGATATGGATCATCCCAAAAATAGTGCTTTGCTTCTGATAGGAACCGCCTTTTCATGTGCCTTGTCAGTTCGGTAGGCTCGACTTTACCAACAAGGTAGTTGGCAATGTCGGCATACCACAGTGTTTGCTCCTTGGCGGAAATCGCCATCAATCTCTCAGCAGGAAAAAGCTCCTCAATTTCGCATTTTCCGAAAGTTTCTGCTAACTCGGCATCTAACCTCGAGAGGTGATCAGCTGCCTGATTAGCAGACCCTTTTCGGTCCCTGATTTCAATATCAAATTCCTGCAACAAAAGAACCCAGCGTAACAGTCTAGGCTTAGCATCATGCTTTTGGAGGAGATATCTAATGGCCGAATGGTCGGTATAGATAATAACCTTCGAAAGAATGATGTAAGTCCTAAACTTCTCTAAAGCACAAACAATAGCAAGGAATTCTTTTTCAGTGGTGGTGTAGTTGAGTTGTGGCCCTGACAGAGTTTTGCTAGCGTAGTAGATTGGGTGGAAGTTCTTTTCCTTCCTTTGACCAAGGATGGCCCCCACTACTAAGTCACTAGCGTCACACATGAGTTCAAAGGGTAAGCTCCAATCTGGGGCCACAAGCACAGGTGCATTGATCAGTTGTGTTTTAAGTGCTTGGAAAGCATGGTGACATTCATCAGAGAATATAAAAACCGCATCTTTTTCAAGTAACCGGGTGAGAGGTTTTGCGATTTTAGAGAAATCCTTTATAAAACGACGATAAAAGCCCGCGTGTCCTAAGAAGCTGCGGATGGCTTTTACCGTGGTTGGTGGAGGAAGTTTCTCTATTGTCTCAATTTTTGCACGGTCCACCTCTACCCCGTTACTTGACACTTTATGTCCAAGTACTATACCCTCTTTCACAAGGAAGTGACATTTCTCCCAACTTAGGGCTAAATGGGTTTCCTTGCAGCGGATAAGTACTTTTTCCAGGTTTTCAAGGCATTTTTCAAATGTTTCCCCAAAAATAGAGAAGTCATCAATGAATACCTCCATGAAGTGGCCAATGTATTTTTCAAAAATGGCAATCATGCACCTCATGAAGGTGGCAGGGGCATTACAGAGACCAAAAGACATCCTACGAAAAGCAAAGGTCCCAAAAGGGCATGTAAACGTAGTTTTGTCTTGGTCTTCTGGGTTGACATGGATTTGGAAGTATCCACTCATGCCATCCAGGAAACAGTAGTGACTATGGCCTGCCAACCTCTCTATTAATTGATCGATGAAGGGAAGGGGAAAATGGTCTTTCCGGGTGGCTTCGTTCAGTTTGCGGTAATCGATTACCATTCGCCACCCGGTAACAGTTCGACTGGGTAGAAGTTCGCCCTTTTCATTTTTCATGACGGTCATTCCCCCCTTTTTGGGGACAACATGAATAGGGCTTACCCACTGGCTATCAGAGATGGGGTAAATGATACCCGCATCCAGCAGTTGACAATCTCGGCACGCACTACTTCCATCATGTTTGGGTTTAAACGTCGTTGTGGTTGGACAACTGGTTTAAACCCTTCCTCAATTTTGATGGTGTGGGTACAAAAGGTGGGGCTAATTCCATTGATGTCCTCAAGTTTCCAAGCAATTGCTTGCTTGTGTGTCTTAAGGACTCCAAGTAATTTCTCCCTTTGTTCCTCACTTAAGTGTGCGGCGATGACGACAGGGCATTTGCCTTCGTCATCCAAGAATGCATATTCTAAGTGGTCGGGCAGTTTCTTTAGTTCGAGGGGGTGGTCGTTTTTCAAGTTTTGTTCATTTTTCTCCCCCTCAAACTCAGTCAATACTTCGTTAGAAGCTTGATCAATCAGCGCATCCTCACAACTCTCACATGCATCACTCACATCACTGTTGGCCTTTTTTAACAGACATGCTTCATCAGTTACATGTCCATTTTCTTCCCCAAACAGATACCCTTCAATAGACTCAAAGGTATCAAGAAAATGACATCCTTGAAAGGAATCTGTGGGGTGTTTCATAACATCTGAGAGTCGGAAGGTGCATAGATCATCTCCGACTCTTAGAGTTAATGAGCCATCAGTGACATCAATCAAGGCCCTGGCGGTAGCCAGAAAGGGCCTTCCCAGAATAAGAGGTGTTTCCCTATCCTCTTCCATGTCCATTACTACAAAGTCGACTGGGAAAATGAATTTGTCAACCTTGACCAGGACGTCTTCAACAATTCGTTTCGGATATTTGACTGAGCGATCAGCCAGTTGAAGACACATCCTGGTGGGTTTCATTTCCCCAAGTCCTAGCTTCTCGACTATAGAGGAAGGCATCAGATTGATACTTGCCCCTAAGTCAGCTAGAGCATTATTGAAGTTGAAATTGTCTATAGAGCAAGGGATAGTGAAACTACCTGGATCCTTTAGCTTTTCGGGTATTGACCTCAGAACCACGGCCGAGCATTCTGCGTTCAAGTCCACGACTGAGAGCTCCTGCAGCTGCCTTTTGTTTGTCAGCAAGTCTTTGAAAAACTTGGCATATTTGGGCATCTCCGCTAAGGCATCCATCAGCGGCAGGTTGACATGGAGTTGTTTGAGTAGGTCCAGGAATTTGTTGTACTTCCTGCTATCGTCATCATTTCTAACCCGTGAAGGAAACGGGAGAGAAGGTTTGACGATAGTGACCCTTGTGTTAGGGCGTGTTGGTTCCATGCTCTTCTCAGTTGGAGCATCAGTTTGTTTCTCAGGTTCCATGGTCGGGGTACCTTCCTCTTCCTTGTCTTTCTGCTCAGCCACAGTTGTTTGTCTCCCGCTTCGAAGAGTGATGGCTTGCACATGTTCACGGGGGTTTGGTTCCGTGGTGCTAGGCAAGTTGCCTGGCTGACGAGCAGGAACATTGTTCTGATTAATTTGCATCATCAGATTTTTGATCTGATTGTCAGTGCTGGCCTTGTATCTTGTTATTTCCTCCCGTGTCCTTGCCAGTTCTGCTACCAACAAGCCTATCTCTGATGGCTGGGCAGCCTCCGTTTGTCGTTGGTGTGGAGGCACATAAGCTTGGTTGTTCTGTTGGGCTGGTGCACCTCCCTGGTTCCGACTCTGGAAGTTGTTCCCTTGATTATTGTTGGGGTAGTTTTGATTACCTTGATAACCGCCGCGAGGAGGACCATTGTTGTAATCCCCCCGCCATTGGTTACCTTGGTAATTCCTTCCTTGGAAATTCTGAGGAGGGTAGTTGGAGTTACCCCCCCTGTTGCCCTGATTCGCCCATGGCCCTTCTTGTTTTGTTCGGTCGTACTCCAGCATGTTCACTTCCCTGTTGTTGTTTACATTACATTCATCGACTAATTGACACGAGTTGGTCAAATGTGGACCAAAACATATCTCACATGAGAGTACAAGTTCAGTTGAATGAGAAACAGGTGAAAAAGTATTAAATTGAGATGACTGTGGAGCAGAGCTTGAGTTCCCGAAGTATCGGCATGATTGTTGATTCGGGACAGCACCGATGTTGTTGACTTGGTTGGTGTGATTGTTTTCATTCTTCAGATTCTTTACTTCCACGACCAACCCTTCAATCTTTGCTGTTAAGGCCGTGAGTTGGTCAACTTCAAGATAGCCTGGTTTTGTTGCTGCTGGAGTTCTTTCGTCATACCAGTATCTTGCATTTGAAGTGACCTTCTCCACCAGAGCTTCGTTGGTGTTGGGTGCCATGTCAAGGAATGATCCCACCTGAGAAGAGAAATCAAGTTCTTTTTTGCTACTAACTTGAAGTCCATTGTAAAAATGGAACATCAAGCTACTAGAATCCATCAGTGTGAGTGGACATTTGTTTCTCATATCCTTGAAACGATCCCATGCTTCACTTAAGGACTCCATCGGGAATTGCCTAAAGTTCTGGATTGCTGTTTTAATTTTAGCAACTGCCGATGGAGGAAAGTATTCTTGCATGAATGCTTGGTGCAGTGCCGCCCATGTTGTGAAGTGACCCGTTGGAAAGCTATTCAGCCACAAAGATGCCCTATCCCGTAATGAGAAGGGAAATAGGGTCAACTTTGCGGCGTCGGAGGTCACTCCGTTAAAGCGGAACGTTTGGCATGCTCGGGTGAACCACAACATGTGGGCCCTAGGGTCATCTTGCTTGGACCCGCCAAATTGATGGTTGGACATCATGTTGACAATGGCGGGTTTGATCTCGAAATTGGCTGCCTCGATTGCCGGTGCGCTGATACTATCATCCTCGATGAAGTTTGGCGTAAGATTTTGCAACACCGTCCTTTCTCCCGCCATGCTTGGTTTCTTGTGGATTGAAAGATTTTTCCACAAAGTTCGTTCAGGTTCAGGATCAAGTTCAATTAGACCTTCCACTCCTTTAGAGCGGGTGTGCATTCATTTATCCTGAAATCTTTATACAAATTGTCGCAAGGGCGAAAAAGTCTCCCTAACTAGAATTCACCTATGCTAGAATTAAATCAAGAAATAATCGTGCCATTCCCCGGCAACGGCGCCATTTGATAACCGCTTTCGCGGCGTTGTAGTAAAACGGAGTCTAACCTTTCGGTTTTTCCCCGAGTGTCGTGTCTCTTGAGAAATGGCGGAGAAGTTTCTTAATTTAATTTTAGTCACGGGCTATCGCTAATCGTTGGAAGCCTTTTCAATATAGGAAAGTGTTTTTGTTCTTTATTATGCTAAATTATAACTAGGAGCAAGGTGCAATTTAAAGATTAATGTATAAAGACTGATTATTCAAGGATGCAAATAAGGGCAATGAATTGAGTAATTAGAAATGGATATGTTCTTGGACCTCTTAATTAGGGAAATTAAGACTAAAGTTGGACTAATAATTTCTTTCCTCATAGACAAGAATAGAAACTATCTTCATTAATTTATCCTATTTCTAGGTATCATTAATGTGTTTAAAATGGTTGGCTTAAATTATATTCTAAACCCATAGACAAGGTAGAAATAATTTTCCAATATTTTAATTAATAAAAATAGCCAAATTCATTAACTAGTTAAACTCTTTATTTTAGCAATTGAATTTATTTCTCATAGACAAGATGTAAATCCTTTTCATTAAATTATCCTATTTCTAGGCCTTATTAATGTGCTCAAATATGGTTGGCTTAAATTAATTTCTAATCTCATAGACAAGTTAGAATTAATTTTCCAAGAATTTAATTAATGAAAATGGCTAACTATTATTAATTACTATTTCATCATTTTAAACAACTAGTCCAATTTATTAATTTTACCCCCTAATTTTAGGTCAACAAGTCAATCCATATTCCTTTACTCAATTCATGCCCTAACAAATTTAGCTACTCATTATCATTTTTACAATTAACGATATAATAATTAAATTCAACATTAACAAGGAATTAAACATGTATGATAGCAAAAATTAAACAAAAATTATATTCTGGAACAATAAACTTGTAGGAACTAAAATACAACTTTCTGGAATTTTTTTACGAATTTTTGAAACTAAAATCCAATTTTAACAACTAATTGATAACTTTCCCAATTTTAACTAGAAAATACAAAAAGCAACTAAAAATATGCTAACTTCGTTATAAATTTTATTTTTAGCTACTGGGAGGTATATAACTGTGAATAAACTGTAATCAGGTCCGAACTAATTTTTTTTTCTTTTTTAGTATTTATTTTGATTTAAGCAATAATATAAGGTAATTACCGAAAATTAATAAAAAATACTCTAAATTCGTACCAAATTTTATATTAACTACTAGTAATGATATTTAAGTTAACTAAACTGTAAATAGGGCCGAACTCATTTTTTTCTTTTTTTTTCTAGTATTTATTCTAAATTATGAACTAATATCAAATAATTACCAAAATTAATTAAAAATTACTTCTGGTTCGTGAAAAATTAATTTCTTCAGATAAATAACTACCTTGAGGCTAGTGAACAACTATATAATTAATTGGAATGATTTCAACAACAATAACTATTTTATTTAATTTTTGGAAGGAAATGCGAAATACTTGAAAAATAATCTGGAAATTTTTGAAGAACAGATCGAAGAAACAAAGCACAGATTCAGATTCTACACATTGAGAAGATGAAAATACATATAAAGAACTTACAATTTGGAGCTAAAATGAAGAAGATATGAAGATTTGAAGTTTCTCTCTCTCTAAGACCTTTGGAGCTCGAAAATGGAGGAAGAAAGAAGGTGTTTTGAACTGATTTAGGGTTGGAGGAGGTGTGTTTGAGTTGAGGAAAAATCGGGCTATTTATAGGAGAAATTTCCCCGAAGGCGGCCAACCAGGCGGCCGCCTTCCGCCTCTCTCCGGCCGCCTGCCGTCTTCGTCGCCGACAGCGGTCGGTGGCCGGTCCCCGTCAGCCGTAGGCGGCCACAGAGGGCGGCCGCCTTCCGTCACACATCGGCCGCCTGCCGTCTTTTCATTGTCAAATCGGATCGCGGCGGATCCCGGCCGCCGCAGGCGGTCCAGCAGGCGGCCGCCTGCCGTCCTGTCTGGCCGCCTGCCGTCCTGTCTGGCCGACCGGTGGTTGGTTTCGTCCCCTTGTGCCGCAGGCGGCCACCGTAGGTAGGCCTGTCAATGGGTCGGGTCTAGACCCGGACCCGACCCGGACCCGGTTGTTTTTAACGGGTATGGGTCCTTATTTTATTCCGTTTACCCGGACCCGAACCCGGACCCGTTAGTACTTTTAATAAACGGGTCGGGTATGGTACTTATGATTCCGACCCGTTAAGGACCCGAACCCGTTTAAAATTTCTTATTAGTATACACACACACACACTAATACATAAAGAGATTAGTTATAATACTTCAAATAAAAATACAAACTAATATATATAAAGTGATTAGTTTTAATTCTTTGATTAAAAAGAAACGAATTAATACATACCTAATGTATAAGTGATAATATAATAGTACGTAGTATATAATATGCTTTTAGTCCAAAAGAATTTTTTGTGACCTAATTTCTAGTCTAATATACGAGTTTTATGTGGGAGACAAAGAGACAAAAAGTGCGGAATTGTACGCATCTACAAGAACCGATATTTTATTGAATAAAAGTACTAATTTTCTATGATAAACTTTGTTTTTTTTTTAAAGTGAAGATATATTTTCCTTTTAAATTTGTACACTTTGATTTACATTTCATATACATGTTTTGCTATTTTAAAAAATTATATAATGTTCTGTCAAAAAAAAGTTATATAATGTTGTGCATATGATACTTGGCGGGTCTACCCGACCCGGTTCCGAGACCCGTTGGGTCCGGGTCCGGGTCCAAATTTTTAGACCCGCCGGGTAAACGGGTCGGGTCCGGGTCCTTTATTTACTTAGCGGGTCCGGGTCTGGAACACTACGTTCCGACCCGGACCCGACCCATTGACAGGTCTAACCGTAGGCGGCCGCCTTCTGTCCAGTGTCGGTAGCCTTCGGTCTTTTCCTGGTCCCGAGTCAAAGCGAGGTTGACTTCTGATTTTTCCCGTAGGCGGCCGCGAAGGCCCCCATTTTGGGCGCCTATTTGGGCGCCTTCTGCCATTTTTGTCTGG